GTGGATTTAAAAAAGATTTCTGTAAATTTCTAATCCTATATATATGACAAATGAATCATCTCGTTGAAAAAATTTTATAATAAATAATATAAAAAATAATAAAAGATTATTTCACCTGAAAAAAACCATATTCTAAGAATATATCGTAAAATAAACTTGTAAAAAAAAAAATTGAATAAAATATCTCGTAGTATTGGTGATTATTGGTGATAGTTTAGGGCATTTGATTTTGTTAAAATACCAAGGTGAATCTTATGAGAAATTGCTTTAAAATATTCCATTTTATTTCTAATATAGAAATAATTCTATTGTTATTATTATTATTATTACTATTATTATTATATTATTATATTATTATTATTACTATTATTATTATTATTATTATTAGTATTAGTATTAGTATTAGTATTAGTATTAGTATTATCAAATACTCATTTTTTAATGTTTTATATCAAATTTGAAAAAATAAATTGAATACTAAGGTAACTTTTTCTTGGATTCAAATTAAAGCAATTGCATAGTTAAGTTTTGCTTTTTTCTAAGAGCGCTCAACCATTTCTCGTTAGGCACCTCTTGTTTGTCCTATCAGATAAATTTTATCATATTTTACGAAGCAATTTGATAATAGAACTACTGCTGAGTCGCTGAAACGTTTCATTGAGACTTTTTGTAAAACAAGGATTTTACTCCTGAAAATTCCGTCGATATAAGAAGTAAAAATTTAACGAAATTTATTTAAATTTGGAACTATAATCTCGTGAAATTCTCTCGAAATTTTGGAAGATTTTTGATAAGAAATTTTTCTGATCATTTCAATATTTTTATTTTATTTTTTATTTTATTGTAAATTTTTATTTGAAGAAGTATTTAATTTTTATTTATTACTTATTTATTAAATATTTATTTATTTGCTTATTAATTTAATTTTTACTTATTAAAAATATTTAATAAATATTTAATTTTTTAAATTGCTTTTTATTTTTGCAATAAAACAACTGCTTTATTCTTATTTATGGATTTTAATAAATTAAATTAAATATTCATTTGTTTATTCAATTTTAATTAAATAAAATTCATAATTTTTATTTTTTTTTTATCTGTCTATTTAGTTTATTTCTTAAAAATAATTAAAGCTTATAATCTTATTGAATTAGCAAATAGATAGAATGCATAGATTGAATGGCTTAGTGGATTGTTGCTGAATTCAGAGCGCCGATGCTGAGGTTCGATTACCAGCAAGAGTAAAAGTCTGGCTTATGCTGGCGACTTACCTGTACTTCTATCCCTAACAAACTCCTCTGCATATTTGTTCGGTACGATAAGTCAGCGGAACGAGTTTGATCAATAACGATGAGGGCTCTTAAAAAAAAAAAGGATAGACTGCATGATAAATCTATTATGTTTTCTTTGATTTTTTTCTTACTGGAAAAAGCAAATTGAATTCGGAAATAATCCCTGATACATTATCATTGCAATAGTTTTGCTGGTTGCAATCCTAGTGGTACTTACTGATTTGGCGTTCTAATAGCAAAATGTCACCGCTCCAAAATGATGGTTCCTCGGTATATTACTGTGCACCGCTGAAAAAATTGGGCAATTTTTAGTGCATGTGCCCTTAATCACTAATATATTTAAAACAATTGAGCTAAAAGGTGATAAGGAAGAAATATAAATAATACAGAATTTTTTAGAATAATTTTATCAAACAATACGATTCTTTGGGCCGTGGCCGTAAATTTTTGCTGTCAGGTCTTATCAAATGATGTTGCTAATTTTTGCTATTATTTTGGCATTTATCATATTTCTGCTTTATCGTAGCGATGTCCGAAAAAAGGTTAGCGATAATCTTTCATAAAATATTTTAATTAATTCCATTCCCATTACAATCCGTTGGTTTTATTTTCTTATTATGATAAATTCCACGTACTTTTTTTTTCACGTTTTTTCACGTTTTTTTCGCAAATTATTGCTGTCATTGATTTTCAGCCTAATTAATAAACTAATTTTACATCTTCTTCTATCTTCTAACAACTCTTAGTATGGAGAGACCGCTTCAGGAAACAACGTGAAAACAGTACAATCACAATCGAAAATTCTCATGACATCTCTCACCGTTGCTAGTTCGGCTGGTTCCATTGGTGACTAGGATAAGATTCTTACCGTTAAAGTGAAAATACTGCTTTTTACACTCTCTAAGTTCATATATCACCGATCACTTTATTAACGACTCACGATCTAATCTCAATGTTTTCATCTTATTCAAGATTAGTGGTACCTTGTAGTTTGTACACCTCTTAAGTACCAGCAAACGATGTCTAAATTGTGAAAACTATAGTAGAGTGGATGCAAGCCTGTTGTCTTTTTCGTGGCATTGTCTCACTTTTCTCATACTTGCGATGACTTGTATGGAATACTGCCAGAGTATTGCCAACTGATCGAATTAAAAGCACTGGCAGAATCGACGGAGTTTATATAGGTAAATTGTATAGGTAAATTGCAGATTTAACGTGATATTCCAGTATTTTCCTTGCAATGCAAATTTGATTACCTACATTTAAGTTGCTGTTTTATTTGGCTGAATTAGGACAGAAATCTTCTTAAGCTTATTCCATGATAATTATCTTATCACTTTTCCTGGAAATTGAGTGTACTTACCGTAGATTTATCATCTTCAGATGGTTTTGCAGTGAAATGATATAATCCTAACATCACCATAATTAGAGTTAGCCGAATGGCGCATATTGCTAGCAAAAGAAGAGAAAAAAATTAATAGTATTTGAAAAAGATTTAGAAAAAAATATATTTTGAATAAAAATCTTTTTTTTAGCGAAATAACTTATTACGTGATGCAGTTCAACGACGTTTAAGTCTTCGGTTGAAGATAATCGATGAGATTCGAGAAAAAACAACTGAAGTCTCGAATGAAGTGAAGGAAGAGATCGTTAATTGTGATCTCGAATCTTTAATAGGTGAATATTTTTCATAAGTAAGGATTTATATTCGAAAATCATCCAGCATCATGCATTCTCATGCATGTAAGGATTAAGTAAGGATTTATCATAAGTAAGGATATATATTCGAAAATCATCCAGCATCATGCATTCTCATGCATGTTGTGCCCATTTTATTATGCCACATTTAATCTTATTTTTTTCGAGAGAAGTAAAAGTCAATTGAAATAGAAAGATCGATTCGATTATTAATCGAATCGAGTAATTTTAAATAATTTGAAGTAATTTATTTATTTTGACATTATAATTTTTTAATATTTTCCTATCCATATTTCATTAATTTTAATGACTTTATTAGTTCAATATTAAATTTTATTTTTTGTTTTATTAAATCTAATCAGAAGTTTAATCTAAAAATTGGTTTATCAATATATTATCATTTTTAGACGGTCTTCATTCGAAAAAATTTACTGCTATTCAAGTTCTTCGAACCTATCAAGAAAAAGCTATTCAAGCAAATGAGAAAACAAATTGTGTGACCTTATTTATAAAAGTATTTTTTTCTTATTTTTTATATATAATATTTGAAAGATTATTATTAAACGAGAAATATTTTATCAGATCTATAAATTGATTAAAAATATATGAAATTGTAAAATGGTTAATAATTCTTATTTTTTTAAAATAACTCTGAATTATATAATTGATCATATTTCTCAAGTGGATTTTGCTGATTCGTTGTATTTCTGAATGGAGTGACTCAGTAGGTTATTGCTCATTTCAGACCGATGCTAAGGTTTTATTCCCCGCAGGAGTAAACCTGTCCAAAAATCCGGATGATGCTGGCGACTCATCTCTTCTATCGGCAAGGGATTCCCTGGCATTTGTCCAGTGCGACAAGCCAGTGGAGTGAGTTTAACCAGTAATGGTGAGAACTCTTAGAAAAAAAAAAACCAAAAGTTATAAGTGCAAATTCTCTTATTTCATTTTAATTTTTAATTTTAATTTTTAGGAAGCAGAAGAATGGGCGAAAGCCTTAGATTTATTAGGAAACGAAGGAAAACACAAACATTTACCTCTTTTTGGAATTCCATTCAGTATTAAGGAAAGCATTTGCGTTAGTTTTTAATAATTTTATATTATTTTTAGATTTTTATTAATTATTTGTATTTTTGTTGTTATTTCTTCCAATAATTTGATTTTATCATGTCCTTTGGCGACGAAGCATAATTCTTGATCATATTCTGAATCATAACTGTAATTTTTCCCCTGTCGCTTTTCTTTATCTCTTTTTCGTAAACTCATTTCAGACATGCATATCCTCATCTTAAACTCATAGAGCTACGCCTTTTAGGGCTCGCTTTAGATATAGGCTAATTTGCTAGGAAAAGAATAAAACCATGGTGCTATCAGCTGTTGTGAGCTTATAGTTTTAGGGCTTATAGTTTTCGAATCTGGATTGTTTATTGATTGCACCTCAATTTTGCTTTTTAATTTTTTTGTTTTTCTCGTTGTCATTTGTCATTCTCATATTTGTATTCCTGCTTATCAGTAGAGGACAATTAGCGTTAGCATACTGTCAATTCACAGATTTTCAGTGCTTCTTGAATTATATGAGCCAACACACTACTTAACGAATTGATATGATATATTGGTGCAGTTTCATCAGATCATGAATTGTTGTTTTCTTGAAGATATTTCGTAAGATTGGATTGTTAGATTCTTTTTTTTATAACTGAGAGTTAAATTATTGATTTAATTGTTACTTACCATTTTTTTTTAGGTTGGTGGTTATGATCAAACATTAGGTTTCGCTCAGAATCTAGGACGTTTTGTTGACGAAGATGGTGATATAGTTAAGCATATTAAGTTTTTAGGTAATTTCTTATTTCAATTCAATCCTTTGCAGTTTAATTTTTTAAAAATTCCATTTCGTTGTTTGTTGATCTTTTTTTTGTTTTATTATTTATATTATGATTTTTTGTGTATTTTTTTTTGTATATTTACGTCGTTATATGAATTTGATTTTACATCGTTCTAATTTTTTGATTGGAACTTTTAGGTGGCGTACCTTTTGTATTAACAAATGTTCCTCAGAGTCTTCTATCGTATTCTTGTTTGAACCCAATTTATGGTACAACAATCAATGCTTACAAGTGTGATAGAACTGCTGGAGGATCTAGTGGTGGTGAGGGATCATTAATTGCATGTGGTGGATCTATAATAGGTATTGGAGGTGATGTTGGAGGTTCTTTGCGTTTCCCTGCTCATTTCAATGGAATTACTTCTTTAAAGGTGATATTTGATAGAAATTAATTGAGATGAAAAAAAAAAAAATTAAATCGAGAATTGAAAGTGAAAATGGAAATAATTATAAATGATCGATAAATGTTGTATTTTAGCCTTCGAACTTGCGATTTTGTCGAGAGCGTTCAGGGACATCTGTTATGGGCAGATCTCTTGTTGATGCATCCCTTGGACCAATGACGAGGACAGTTCGAGATGCAGTAACATTCCTTAAAATTTTTTGGTCAGAAAGGTGGTTTTTTCGTGGAGATCCATATTTACCAGCTATTTACTGGGATGATCATCAGTATCTCAACAAACAACCTTTACGAATAGGTTATTTTTTAACTAAAGAATTATGAAAAATTTTAATTTTATTTCTTTTTTTAACTCTTCTGAGTTTGCATTTTTTAGGATATTATTATCAAGATGGTTGGTTCGAGCCAACTCCTGCCTTGAAAAGAGCCGTTCAGGAGACTCATTCTCGTTTGGAAAAATTGGGCCATGTTTTAGTAGAATTCGAGCCTCCAGATATGGCTGATGCTTTTAAATTATTTCTTGGTGCTATTTTAGTTGATGATGGAAAGTATATACTCGATAAATTTGATAAGGTATTACAAGAAATTTTTATTTTTCTTGTTATTATAACTCGGATAATTTTTGAAACTGTGGAAAAAATATTAAAAAAGGTGTTGAAAAGAATAGTCAAATGGTTTTAGGATTTATATATGAAAGAATTTGGTGAACAAATTATTTTATTGCGTATCCCTCCATTGTTGAAGCGAATTTTTGGTAAAATTGTGAAACCATTTTGGCCACGTTTATCAAAAGTTTGTGAAGCCTTTGCTTTGAACACTAGTGAAATGCGTCAAATGTTTGAAGATATAGCGAAGTATCGTCATCGTTTTGTGAGAGAAATGAAGGCTTTACGGCTTGATGCTATTATTTGTCCTATTCAGGTATGACTATTTTGCGAATTGGAGTGGTCTAATCCATTATTTCAGAAATTAACTGATTTCAATTGGTTCTTCTTTTAAAATGATATGATGTTTGGAAATTTTAGGTAGTTCCTGCAATCGAGCATTTTTATCCAATGAAATTAATTTCTACAGTATCTTATTGCGGTCTTTTTAATTTGCTCGATTTTCCCGCTGGGACGGTTAAGGTGACAGAAGTGTCTGAAATCGATGAGTTATGCTTAAAGGATTATCCAGAAAATGATTTATGGGAAAAATTAGTCAAAAAAGCAACAAAAGTTTGTTTTTTTATTTATGACATTCTGAATCCATTGCATTTATCGCTCATTTCATATATTTCCAGTGAATAATGTGATTATAGGATTCTGTTGGATTACCTGTTGGAGTGCAAGTTGCATCATTTCCATTTCATGAAGAGACAGTCTTGCGTTTGTTGGCTGAGATCGAGAAATCGGTCGAATTGGAAAAAATTATATAAAAGAATAAATTAACTGGTAACTAAGAAATTTCGTGCGATTTTTAGGACCTTAGTTATGTAAAAAATATCGATAATTTTTTTATATTTTTATATTTTAATATTTACATATTTTAAAAAAATTTGTAAAAGTCTAATTTTTCTCATTCTATTTATTGTCGAGATTGTAGATTTGTAAACGCCGATGTATTAAAATTTCCTTCAGAAGTAAAAGAGGCCGATCCACTTTTCGATTTTGAAATTTTTATATTTATATATACTAATTCATCATTCAGTATCGTCTAGTGACAAGAAAAGACGATAGTAAAATGATGCAATACCTCGATGAACGAGTGCGAGTTTTTGAAATAGTACATATGTAATCATTTCCGTTGAATAGATGTCTGATATGATTTTTTTGATCGTTGGCTCGGAGCTTATAACAAATGAGACTGGAATTATTAGATGATAACTGCTACTGATTTGTATTCCCAAAGTGAATCTCTGCTGAAAGAGACTGGGAGCCAGTGAAATTATCTAAATCAGTCGACCCCACTGTATAGCAATAATGCACGTATAAAACATGAACTCATTTTGTTCCGTCTCATTAACTTCCAGAGATATTCTGTTGGAGATATAGGTACATATCAATGGATCATTTGCATGGAATTTTTTCTCCATACTTCTAGCATTTAATATGAATTATGGCATTCTGTTCGTTGTTATCGATGACGATTGGTCTTCTCTTTAAACCATATATAATCTTCATCTGATTCAGATTTTCTAAATTTTAGGCTAATTTTTCATTATGCTATGTCTTATTTGTGATATTTTCTCAGAAGCATTATAAGTTTTTATAGTACCATATTCCTTATTTTTATCATAAAATGATAAAATCTTTTATAAATTCTTTCTAACGTTTCCTACACGCATCTGAATGATTTATCTTCGTTAATCATTTATCGGTTTATTCTATTCCATATGCATTCAATTATTTTTGGTTAATGATGACTGCACGAATTTTTTTAGTTACCTAAGAATTAGAATATTTTCATGCTGAACTTCGTTTCGCATAATTATTATTATCATTTAATGATTTATTTAAATCAGTTTCCAATTTTTATTTCAAATTTTAGAATCTTTTTTAGAATGGATTTTCCATTAATAGATTTGTAAAAATTTTATGTTCCTTATTTCTTTTTTATTATTTATTTTTTATCATAAAGTGATAATTACTATATCACTTATTGCACTTATTTGTTTTTATTTTTTGAATTTGAATTTATAATTATTTCAACTCAATATTTTAATATTTTTTATGGATTTGAATGAATAAAAATTTAAATCAAATTCTATTCGGAAATTATTACATTCAGGGATTTCAATCGTTCTTTACTTCAATTCTGTAAGTTTTAAATGATATTTAAACGGAAATTCTCTTCAAAGAATGATTTTTGTAAAAAAAAAAAAAAAAGGATCGAAAATTTATTAATATTTTTGATTATGAAAAGTACGATTTTTTATTTCGTTCTTCTACAGTTGTTAATTGATATGATATGATAAAAATTGATTGATTAATTGGTATGATATGATATGGTAAGTTAAAATTGGAAGTAACGCTAGAAGCATGAAGTAATCGCCTGATTAGATCGGATTTCCGAGTGATGAAACTTTTTCTTTGAGGTTTTTCTCAAATTGTCACTTTCATACTTCGATAATAACAATAGCAAAGTGAATTGCACGGATAAATCTGCCTAATCTGGATTCGACAATTTAGTAATTAACAGTGTTTGATTGATATTTTAAAAATTCGTTAATTTTTTTCAGGAAAAGCATTTTTTTCAAAACGAAGACGACTAGAGGGAATTGAACTGAACTGAACTGAACTGAATTGAACCGAACCGAAATAATTTATATGATAATCTAATCTATTTAGTGTAGTAATAAGGCAATAAACTTGGCGATGAACTTCAAGTTCAAGTTGAATATTGTTGGATGGCAAGATTTGATGCGATGATTTCAGTAGAATTGTGGCTCATCTGTTTAGGTTTTATCGTTCATATTATTTTACTTTATTCCATATTTGATATTTATTATATATCACCGTTGGTTCAAAATTGTAAGGCATATCCGATAACAAGCGGAAAAGGATTGGCTAGTCGAGTCGTTATTTTCACGGCAGGTATTAATGAATTTTTCACGAATGATTTTTCAATTTTAATATATAATTTTAATAATTTGTGAAATTTATGAAATAAAGTAATATTAATAAATTTCATATAATAAAAAAATAATTATATATTTATTAGTAAATTAAAATTAAAATTTTTTAAATTTTGATTCTTTTTTTGTTCGATGAAAAAAAAGTTTGGCTAATTTTCAATTATTGAAAATTATTATTTAGATGGTCTTCGTGCTGATACATTTTTTCAAAATCCAGAGAAATCACCATTTCTTCATGCGATCATGAAAGCACAGAAGGTGCGTTATTTTTGTTTTTCACCTTATGAAACAAACGATTTCAGTTTCTTCTTCTTTCTCTTAATAACTCGTACCATAAGAATTTCCAAGCCTTTCGATTTGATCCATTCCTTAAAGTAATTGAAATAAAGAAGCCATACATTTTTTACTAGCATTTAAGCCTGTATATTGGTTAGTATTCAAAATCTTTGATTATTTTGATCCATGCTTTGGTTAGTCGTCCTCTCGTGGCGTACTTCATCATCATCATCATATAATTCGATAAGTAAATAAGTAACGCTGTATGCATTAATTACGTTAAGGAACAATGCGAAAGAACATAGTCTTATCAGCGCAGGTGGTAATTTGTGATAATATTATCAATGGATATGGCCTAGCGTGCTATAGATAATTGCGAATTTTCATTTTGAAACCGATTTTATAGCATGACACCTCTAATCGCAATTGCCAAAGTTCGAATTTTTCACTTTTATGTGGATTCCCTTATCTTTTAGCTTGGAGGACATTGTTTTCTGCGCATTGGATTTTGGTCATATCCATAGTGCGGTAGTGTGGTTTAATTCGTTTGTCAGTTACCAGTTTCAGTGCCGTGAAAGTAATAGCTATCTAGTACGGACTCTTTCAAATGCGGTTAGTCGGAAGATAATCGAGGTATTTATTGTAATCAAGGAATCTACAGGTCCTTTCTCAAGATGATTCTTTGCATCATGTACCAAAAATTGACCCCAAAAATTTGGAGCGATTCATGAATCTTCCAATATTTAAATTTGTTTCAGAATGTTTTTATTCTCTAATATTTAAATTTAGGCTTGTTGGGGATTGAGCAAAAGTCATGTTCCAACCGAATCACGTCCTGGTCATGTCGCGATTTTTGCTGGTTTTTATGAAGATGTGAGTGCTGTAGCAAGAGGTTGGAAAATGAATCCAGTGCAATTTGATAGTCTATTCAATAGGTGAGGTATATTTTTATATTTTTATATATTTTCTTTATTTTTCATTTTCACATATTTTTCACATATTTGAAAATTTGTAGTATTCTTTGAATATTGAAAAAATTTTCATAAAATTTTCATCATATATTGAAATTGAAAAACTTAAGTGATATGTTAGAAATTTATTTTAGCTACTTTTAGTTTAATTTTCCCTTTTTTACTTACTGAATGGACGATGAAGATTTTATTTGACGACATAATATAGGTCTCGAAGAAGTTGGTCGTGGGGTAGTCCTGATATTGTTCCAATTTTCACTAAAGGGATCAGTTCTGCAGCTTCCAATGTTTATTCGGCGGAATTAGAAGATTTTCATTCCAAAGATGCAGGAATACTCGACCGATGGGTATTTGATAATGTCAAGGTACAAGGTATTTTTTTCTTTGATTATTCAATTCCTACAAGCATTTTGATAAAAATTATTTTTGTGAATTTCATTTACTTTTATATTTCTCTTTTTTCTATTTTTAACGTATTCAGGAGCTATTTAAAAATGCCAGTGATATTCTTAAAGAAAATCTCAGCCAAGATCGGGTCCTATTTTTTCTTCATTTATTAGCTCTTGATACTATTGGACATGGGTACAAACCTCATTCAGAACAATATATAAATAATATAAAGACCGTTGATAATGGAATCGCTGATATTGTTGAAGTTTTTGAACGGTTTTATGGTGATCAAAGGTGACATTTTCCTTTGTTTTTTTGATTTTCAACAGTTAAAATATTTTCATCTTCATTCATATATTTTCTTTTCTAATTTTTGTATTTTTTTTTAAATTGTAGGCAAAATACAATTTAATTTTTGTCTACTTTTTTAGAACGGCATTTATTTTCACTTCCGACCATGGAATGACGGATTGGGGTTCGCACGGTGCTGGTACAGATTCAGAAATATTTACACCTTTTATATTTTGGGGATCAGGAATTAAACCTTTTTCAACTCAACAACTAATTGACCAGGTTTTATTTAATCTAGTTTTTATTTGCAATGTGTCAGTGGCTTCCTTCAAAAGTCGGGTGATGTTTGGCAATTTACTTGCACTCCTGTCCCCAAGGCATTCTCTGGCATATTTGTCTAATCTGACATCAGATAGGTGAGTCTAACAGTAGTGGTCTATTAAAAAAAATCTGTCATCTGCAATCTCCTCAAAATCGTTACAGGGAATTGTTTAATATTTCAGATTTCGAAAACTTTTTTTCTTTTAAAAATTCTTGTAAATCGATTTGGAAGAATATCTGCAGCAAACTAATTCTTTTTAGTTTTTTCTACAATGGAAAATTTTTCTCCAATGCTTTATGGAAGCTTGGCGTAATTTTTTGAGAAATTCCCGGGCATCCATTTATTATTTCAGGTTGATATAGCAGTTTTTATTTCGGCCTTGTTGGGTAATGCGATACCAACAAATAGTGTTGGCAAGTTACCATATACATTTCTCGATGCTTCACCAAAGTATATTTTCCAAGCAGCCTACGCAAACCTTATGCAGGCAGGATTTTTTCGTATCTAAGCTATCATCAAAAAATATTTTAATGATTCATCTCTTCTAATAGATTTTACCTTTTTTGTTTTGCTTTAATACCATTAAATTTCACAACTGGTATCGATGATTTAACCATTTAATATATTTTGTTGTGTATAAATTTTTTAGCTTTTTTTTTTAGATGTTGCAACAGTTCATCATCAAAAGGCATGAAAAGCGATCACATTCATTGTCGTTCATGTTTAAAGAATTCCGTCAACTACAACCGAAAACCTTATCAAATATAGAAACAATGATGGAAAGATTAATTGAAAATAAAAGGTTTTTCGATTTTGCAATATTTTTTTTTTCCAATTTTGTGCCAAATTTCGAAAATAAATTAAAATTTTCGAATTTTCTATTAATGCGCAAGTAATCGAAGAAATTCCATGAAAAAATATAGATAAGTACGATCAGTGCAAATAGTTGCATTAGTTTAATAGTTGTATATTTCTAAATGTTTATGTGACACAAAAGCATATGTAACACGACACCTCACTTTCCTAGCTTCAATTTTACCACATGCTTTATTACTCAAAAGCGTTCAAGGTATGCGCCATCCTCCGTGAAAAAATTTTTTTGCTTGAATTGAATTCTGGAATGAAAGACGATTGTTGTTATATTTTTAATTTTATTTAATTCCTATCTGAAAATGCATTTATTTCATCATTTTCAATTGGTTAAGATATGAGGCAGCTGCTCATATATGCATGAAATGGATTCCTGTGGTACGTAGTGGTTTACTTTATTTTCATCGATACGATAGGTTTCTTTCAAGTATAGCGATTAGTTCACTTTTCTTCGCTTGGATTTTACTTGTCTACAGTGCGATAACAAGGTTTGCTTTAAATATTATTTTGTAAGATTCATATTATAATGGCTGATACGTTTTTTATTATTTTTATAATAAAATATTTATAATATTCTTAATGTGTTTTTTATTTTTAAAATTTTTTTTTTAATATTCAGATATGTTCATTTGTTAGAAAATATCGATCAAAAATGGAATTAATTAATTTATTTTATTTTATAAAAATTGAATTTAAAATATAAAAATATAGCAGTTTTTATTATATTTATATTTTAGGAATAATAGTGGAACACCTTTGGATTATTTAATTTTTTATCCTTCTCGTATATTCGTTTGCTTATTTGCTCTAATTTTTCTTTCATTCATAGTTATAAGATTTTCATTTTTGAATTTCATATATTTTATTTTACCAATTTATATCGCAAATATTGCTTTAAATATTCGTGGTAAAAAGCTTAATTTGCTCATTGTTGGCTTTTTAAGTAAATGGTATTATAATTTTGTTGAAAAAGAAAGGTTAAAACAAACATTCAAACCAATATCACTTTTCACATCCTTCGGTAAGTCTTTTCAAGAAATTTATAAATCTATATTTTATTCCTTTGATATCAAAATAAACATTTTTTATAATTTAAAATATACTAATGGCTAGAAGCAGACAATTTATTTCTAATGTTAAAAATCATATCTCTTTTTAAAATCTCTTAAATAAAAATAAAATAAATCTCTTAAAAATAAAAATAATTTTCAGTAATTCTTTTTTTATTACTTATTTCAACTTTCAACAATCGTTCGCATCTATCGTTTGTCTTTTTCTTTGTAGCTATAATTATAATATCCGATTCGAAAGCAGAATATTTGAATAAATGGTATGTTTTAATTTTTTATTGCAAAAATTTTGAAAAGAAATTTTAGTGGACATAAGAAAAATTTAAGAAAAATTTCTAAAAATTTTTTTCGAATATTTACGATTAACTCCAAAAATTTCAATTAATTTTTCCAAAAAATATTTTTGGAAAAATTCCTCGTAGATCCTATTTTTCTAATATTATTCTTTAAATATCTTTATCTTGCCTAAGAATTTTTATTAATAAATTGTTTTAAGGAATATTTTGTTGTTATTGTGTTGTTTCGCTCTGGCAATATTTCCTCAATTACCAGTTGTTGGTCGATATCCTTATCCAGGTTTATGTGTATTTACCTCTTTCTTGAATTGTTTCTTCATGTATTTTATCTCAAGTTATCCTCGTTTTATTGACAATGCTACTTATTATCAAATACATTCTTTTCTTCATGGTATTACAGTTATAATTTTAATATTCATGGACTATGTGGGACGTAAACAGGTAATTTTTGTATTCTTATCAGTTGAGACTTGATAATTAATTTATTTCAAGTAAAATTAAAAGAAAAAAATAAAGGAATAAAAATTGATTTGAATTCTGATAATTCTGATAAAAGAGCAATGTCGATATAAAAGCAATGTCGATGTCGATATTTTTTCGAAATTTTCTCTTTATTTTCTTTTCTTTTTTATTTCAGAATTCTCTTCTTTTTATACAATTAATCAGTTGGCTACTTATTCCGTGTACTTTTATTCTACCATTATTTGCGCCAAAATATATAGTTGGTCGTTTAATTAGTTGGTTCTCAGCGATAAGTCTGCCATATTCATTATTAAGTGTTTCTTATGAATCCTTTTTTCTTTTCATTTTTTTCATTCTTCTTTGGATTTATATTCGCATTCAATTTGAATTTTCGAATAATAACAATTATTGGACGAATATGTGTTTTTCAACGAGGAAAGATTTTAATAACTGTGGTAAATTTTTTTTGATAATTTTTGTTTTTTTTCTTTTATTTCAAAATTTCTTATTTTCTTGTTCCTTATTTTTCGAAAAGTTTTTGTAAGAAATTAAATTAAATTTATGCCATTAAAAATTAGGAATCCGACGGCTGCAAAAGAATCCATCGATATTTGCTTTTCCTGAAATGGTTCTTATGTGAAGATTTTCCAGATTTATTTTATATGCTTGGTTATGCATTCTTAATATACATTGATTTTATAAGTAATAACCGAGCGATTTCAGGTACATCCAAAGTAACGTTGATGACTTTTAAACAAGCTTTAGTTTTAATCACATTAGTGGAAACTGCATTTTTCGGCACTGGTAATATCGCTTCATTGAATAGCTTTAATCCATCTTCTCTACGTTGCTTCATATCTATTTTTTCTCCGTTCACAATGGCTGCATTATTAATATTTAAAATTTTTCTACCGTGTTTCGCTATTGCAATTGTATTCGCATTTATAATTCATATGAAAAATGCAAGTGTCGCGAATCTATCATGTTTAGTTCTTATAATATCTGATGCGATGGCTGCAGTAAGTACTTTTCATTCACTCTTATGCGGTTCTTAATTTTCGATCCATAAACCTGAATCCAGGAATAAATTCCAAATGATCCGTGGCCTTGAATAGGAAAATCATCACTATCTTCATTAATCTCTGAACGAAATCCTCCTTTCTAATTTATGAATGTAAATAATTTAATGCCATGGATAACTTTACTAGTAGAAGCCAAAGGCCTTTTTATGTTGCTCATCACTTTTTCTCATTACTCCTATGTAATTCTTTTATTTTTTCACAAAAACCATCATTCAGGTAAGGTTACATAAGATTTGTGAGTTTTACCAGGTAATGGTACGGAGTATAGATAGTATCCATGCTTCCCATTTAACGCCACATATAAATTGTTTTTAAGAATTTTCCTCAATATGTAGCGTTCTGGTTCTTAATTGGATTTTTTCGTTTTCAACATAATTCAATAGCAACTCTTACCATTTGCTTTTATTTTAACTTTATGAAATAAATATATTTTATAAAAATTTTCAGATATTCTTCTATCGTTTAGTTGATGATGGAAGTTGGTTAGAAATTGGAATGAGTATAAGTCATTACGTGCTAAGTATGGCAATTTCTATTATAATATTTTCGACGTTACATATAGCAAAATATATAGTATTTTTATCAATTAATGATATTATTAAAAAAAAATCAAAACATTTTATCTAATGATAAATATAATAATAAAAAATGAATGGCTTCTATTACTATTAGAAATGGCGTCGGACCGAGCAGATTGGAGACGTCTTACTCTGCTAGCCATTAGAAGAAGAAGAAGAAGATCTAATGATAAATTCGTAAATAGCGAACTAGGAAACTTTTTTATCCTAAAATATTTTTGCCTTAAAAGATTTTTATAAAACTTTTTTTTAAAATTTATTTAAAAATTAAATTTAAATTTAATTTAATTTTATTTTACAATTAAACTTAATTTAAATTTAAATTTATTTTAAATTTTAAATTCATATATTTCAAATTTAAATTTAAAATTAAATTAAATAAATTTAAATTTGAAATATTTAAATTTTTTAAATATATGCCAACAATTCAAAATGAAATATTATTTTTCAGAATTTTTTTAATCATTAATTAATTAAAATTGTTAATTGTTAATATTTTACTGTCTTTAAAAATGCGAATGAATCAATTGTTATAATGATAATTTTCTGTAATTTTTATTTTTTCGATATATACAAATTTTAAATTTTGAGAATTAAAAAATGTTCTTGTATTCATTAATTATCAATTAATGACATTATTAAAAAAAAATCAAAACATTTTATCTAATGATATATTTAATATATGAAGAAAAAACGACAGTTAAAATAGCTAAAATGGTGTGATTAATGTTGATTATCACATATCACTTTTCTTTTACGTGATCAATATTTTTTCGCAATTTTGAATCAGTTAATCTAACTCAGTTGTTCACCTTTTGTATGACAATACCTATCAAAAGCATGAATAATGAACAATAAATAAAGCAGAATAAAATAAAATATGAAACATCACCTCCGATAAATTTTATCAAAGTACAAAAAAGAAATGACCATGAAAAATTATATTTCGAATTTTGCACATTTAATTTCGATGATATATTTTTCGATGATAAGCCAAGAGATAATAATAATGAAGAATATAACTATAATAGGATTAGAGCCTCTGACGATCGCATAATACGCGAACAATTGATCCATAACCGCCTCGCGCCAATAACTGTATTCAATCACCATTAAATTTTTCAAATGTAAATAAATATAAAAAATTTGAGAGAAATGTTGCAATTTCCGAAAATGTGATATGTAAAAACAGTTAAACAGTCGTTCTTATCACAGGTAAGATTTTTAAATAGTTTAAAAACGTGTGATTTAAAATAAACGTTTAGAAAACAATTTAAAAAATATAAAGAAATTTTATTAAAAATGCTGCAGTAAAGAAAATAATACCTGCGCATGCCAAGCAAGCAAATATTGACAAGTGGAATTATCGGCGAGAATATCCATAGCTTTATAAACATATTTCATTAAAAGATCGACCTCATCATTTGTCAAATTTTGCACTGTACTTTCCATATCAGCTGTTTTAAAACTAGTAAGGACTCGTGTGACGAGTGCTGTCGCCCGATTTTTTACAATCTATAAATTATTATAACCAAAAGATTACGTTTATAAAAAATTATAAAAAGAACTAAAGATAAAAAATTTAAAATATATAATAAAAGTAAAAAAATAAAAAATCAGATATATAAAAAAAATAAAAGAATATTCTACTTGATTTTTCGTTTTTAATGGTGGATTCATGAGAGCAGCTTTAAGAGCTTCATTTAGCTTAGATGTTTGCAATAACTGCGAAACTAAACGTTCATCAGGACCAGCCGATTCTTCACCATCGTCAAGATCGTGATATCGTTCCGGATCGAACGCATCTACATCCAATTTCCGGTAATCCGTATTACTCATATTCTTCGCCATTTTTGCACTTAAAAAACGATTTTTTCCAAAGAAAAAATGAGAAACATCCAAATTCACAATTATTACAAAAGAAACATTAAGATAGGACAAAGGATTTGAAATAAACGTCGCAGCCTACCGGAATTCTACGAAGTTTCATTTAAAGAATATTTTTGCGAAACAATTATAAAATTATAAAAATAAAAATAATTAAAACATCAAAGTCTATAAGTTAGGTTTATTTCATACGGTATATTCATTTTTTTTTAAAGAGTCCTCACCAATCCACTAATTAAAATTGCTCCGCTGGCTTGTCGCACTGGACAAATAAGCCAGGGAGTTCCTTGGCGAAAGAAGTGCAGATGAGTCGCCAGCATCACCCGGATTTTTTGGACAGGTTTACTCCTGCGGGGAATAGAACCTCAGCATCGGATACCGCGCTCCGAACCGAGCAACAACCCACTGGGGCCATTCTATAATGTAACAATAATATTTTGGTAAATAATGAATAAAAAAATTAACCTATCCAAAACCCAAACAAACAAGCATGCATGCATTTTAAAAAAAAAGAGATTAATTCCACGAATTAAGAAACGAATTAAAAATGCCACATTATCACAATAATTAATCAAAAAAAAAAAATGTAACTGAAAATGAAAAACGAGAAATTTTCGTCTGCAACTCTTTATCATTTCTCGTAAGATATACAAGCTCTAGCACAGCTGATTTATAGAATAAATTTGCCAGGGATAGAATAAGTGACGATAGAAATATCGATGAATTATCACCATACTCCAAGTTTTTGAAATAAAAGATTTACTCCAAATGTCGATAGTGGAATTCCAGCCTCAGCGTTCAGAAAGCACAATAACTTCGCACAATAACCCAATGATACATTTTTTTTTTTTTGTGCTAATGCGACAAAACAACAAATTTATAAGAATTTAGTCTAAAATTTAAAATTTTTAATACTAATAAATGATTATAAAATGGTTTGCATTAGAATATCGAACAACAATAATTTCAAATATTATTAAAGTAAATAAATTGAAATATTAAAAAATTAGAAATTATATGTTTTTAAAATTTAAATATTCAAACATTAAAGTAATTTATTTATCATTTTATGAATTTTTATGAAAAATATTTATGCTAAATTTGCCTGAAAATGGAAAAAGAAAAAATTTATTAAAAATAAAAGCAGTAGAGAAATTTAATGGAACTATTTTGGATTTATATCGTTTCTAACAAAAAAATAGCCAATTAATGAAAGAAAAATTTTATTACGCTAATTAAATTAAAATATTATTACTTATTATTTTATTTATTTTATTATTTATTATTATTTTATTTTATTTTATTATTTTTAGCGCTCATTATTTTTAGTTAAGCTAGCAAAATTCAACTGGTTAATACAGTAAGAAAGGAAAAAAAAGCGACAGAAATATAGATGGATCGGCCAACAGTTTTATTCCTATCTGAGAGAATCGAATCTAAGAATATTCGATACGAATCAAAAAGCAGTCATATCATTCGATTATATCACTTTGAATATAGTAATATGAAAATAATCCCCTACGTAAAACATCATTCCCATGAAGTACCACAAAATTAGGAGTAAAGATACAAGGACTAAAAGAATTATCGCCGACCGCGTCTGAAAAATAGAGGCACCATAGTAATAGGAAAACATGGCCCATTCCCAGACAAAAGACGGCCGATGGGCTGTAGTTGTAACTCGCTAAATTTGTAAGTAAAAATTTTAATTTCGAGTAATGCGATTCACCATAAGTAATAATTTTATGAAAGTATTGATTGGATGAATAAAAAAGCTTCAATATATATATTTAATTTCATCCAAAGAAACCAAATTTAAATATTTTAAATTTAATTTTGCTAATTTTGCAATGATAGTATCAGAAATTATCAGAAATTAAAATCTACAAAGGCCAATAAAAGGTCGCTTCAATTTCAAATAATTTTTATAGAGCCTATGGACCTTTTCTTGGAACCTACAAACCTTTTTTCATAATAATATCCAGAATATCGAAGATAAAAAATGGAAAAGTATTGCAATGTGAAAATTTTATTTTAGACTCTTCCATTGGTTTGTCGGATTAGACAAATATACTGGGAAATTCCTAGGCGAATAGCAGTAAATGTAAACGTTAACGCGGCATCGTCTGGATTTTTACAGGACTGGTTTATTTCTATATGGAGAAGAATCTCAGTATTGACGCTATTCGCATTGAGTGATAACCCGTCGAGCCATTCTATACTTTTTTGCATATTTTTATTAAGAGACATTTCCGCGCGACGAAATGTGACGAGATATACTGATGAGATTCGAATTTAAGCCTCGATTTTCGGTGATAATTATCTATTTATCTTTGGTGATAATTATCATTGAGCGATCAACGCTACAATACGATACAATTATTTGTATTTCTTAGCTATATTAATATTTTAAATAAATTATTAAAAATTACTATTCATTCAAATTTATGGATCTTCTGAAATTTGTTTAATTAATTAGTGTGATTAGTGGTCCATTGGCTATTGATTACGATATTGAATATTGTTTTGGTGAGAATAATTTTGGGATAAAAAGATCCACAAGTACCACGCTGATTTCTTTTATGACAGGCTTATGCTTGCTGAATAGGAAAAAAAAAAAGATCGAATCATAATTTATTTCTAAAAACTACTATTTGTAGAGTGTAAAATATTCAAAATATTTGACTTTCTTCTTCTTCTTCTTCTTCTAACAGCTCTCACCATTACTGGTTAGGATAGAGTCACTTCGCTACAAGAATGAGAGATCTGCAAGCTGTTCGGTCTAACAACATCGAAACAAGTGTTAACTTTTGTGGTGCATACAAAATATGACCAGTATTTTTAAAAAATATTATTTCATTTAAAATCATAATCATAGTGATTTTAGGAAAGTTTGGAAATATCTCAATTTATTAGACAAAATCGGCCAAATTTGCCAATATAGCCGAGCAAATTTAGAAATTATAAAAGTTTTTCGACGAAAATCTATTGTTCTAAATTTTCTTTTAAATAATTACGATACTCATACAATATTTTTATTTATTTAATGTAAATCTCAATAAGCGGATTTGTATTACTGTATTACTAGTTAGGCTAGTTCCATTCATTATTCGTATTTTCATTCGATAGAAACATGATTCAAATAAAAATAGATAGCCAATATCCTCTCAGTTTTTCAATGATATATTTACTTTTGTTGGAGGTGAGAGCCAAACATCTTTGCATCTCAAAACAATAATTAAACCACTGACCACTCGGCTAACTCGGCAACCATTCCATATACACTAATCATATCAAGAAAATTTATTTATTTTTTCTATCAGTAAATATTTCATTATTATCATCTAAATTATCATATAATCAAAAATATTGTAGAAAATCATTCAATTGAAATTATAATTCTTCTAAAAAAATAAAACATTTAAAATTCATTATCATCAATCAATTTGTCAGATAAAATTGATGAAATTAGGTTTTGACCTAGAAATGATTATTTCATTTTTTTTTTTTTTTACTCATTTATCTATTTATACCAACAATTTGTTTTGTTTTGTTTTGTTTGAATAGAACCTTTATTTTATATTAATTTATTTATTAAATTTTATAATTTAAAATAATCAAAATTTTTTTCTTTATTATATGTTATCTTTGGCATATTCTATAGTTAATTTCTCCATCTCTATAATCGATTTTCTAGTGGTACTTGTTTAATGGTACTTGATGGTATCCGTTCACATATATATTGCTTCTATCATATCATAAAATTATTACATATTAAAACATATTTATAAAATAATATAAAAATATTTTTATCTGATTTTATAAGTTTCAGTTTCAGCTTATGTTATCACTTTATTTTTTGTTATATTCTTTATAAAATTTAAAAAAAATTTTATTTGATATTTGAATTTTTATTTTTTTCTTTAAATTTCTTCTTTTTAATATTTTTTAAAAAGAATATTTATAAAATATAATAATACAAAAATATTTTTTTGATGCATTTAATATAGAGAAAATAAATTGGATTAATAAATTTATTATAATTTTTTTAACAACAAAAAATATTCATAGGATTTTTAAAACAAAAATTAAAATTAAAATCTTAGACCAAAAATTAAAATTGAAATATTAGCAGAATTCTTAGAATTGAGTAATAGCCTGGATCCAAATTTACCTGGCAATAGTATCTTTTAAGCATAAATTAGATTTCACTTAATTTTCCAAATTCTTATGACTCAACCTGAATCAAACAATTCGAATTTCAACATACAATTAATAGCAAAATATGAATTGCAACTGTATTTAAAATATCTTAAATCGTTAAATCTATCTGAAATATACTAGAAATTGTAGTGATTATTATAATGATAAAATTGTAGTGATAAAATTATGGTGTTTATATCAAATATTGAAATCAGTTTTCAACCAAAAAATTACTAACACAATTGTATCGCTAAAAATGATGTAGAAGGGTCGGAAGATTCTTAGTTAATATACAAAATTTTACAATTTTAAAATCTGCAATTTGATTAGATTTAGCCCTAAAGGTATGTCTAAGAATATTTAAGTATGTTGTTCAAATCACACTGTAAATTGTTCGATTATTCTTGTGCAAAATAAACTTTACTGATATCAGCATAGATAAATTTTATTAGAAGGGCAAATAAAATATTAATCACTTTCTGACACATTTGCTATAAATCTGATAAAAAAGTGATAATATTCAACAATTTGAAAGACCATCAATCCGTTTAAATCAAATCGCATCTGCACCTATATATAGTGGAAGCCTTAAATAAGTTAACTTATCAATAGCTTATAACCAGTCATAAAGTGTTGAAAATTAATGAGCGTTCATGGATTTTTTTCTGCAAAAGTCTTGCTGATAAAGAGAAATATTTAAATTCACACGAATTTTAAGGTACCACATTTGTTTCATTCGACCTATTTGCCTTCATTTGCAATATTTTTTTTTAATGATTAAATTTATTATTATGCAGATTGTAAGCGCTGATTTTAGATTCAATTATGGTTCATCGAATTATTTGTTGGTATATATTTTTATATTTAACAATCGCTCCTTTGGTATTCAGAGATGATACATTTTTAGTTGTTGCCCAAAGTCCTTTTCTATTATTTCGGCCTCCAGGCAAGAATATTTTATCTCTCTATATTACCAACAAATTTCAGAAATTTCAATTCATGAAAATTTCATGAAAGTAGTAAAGAAATATGCGAATGATAATTTAAAAAATATCAGTTTGAATATATGAATATTTCATATAATTTCCTTAAGTCCTATAATCTATTCTCTCATATATATATATATATATATATTATTTTACAGCATCGAATTTGATTGTGGGAAGATCGTTTGCTGGAAATTTGGACAGCAGCATTGGTTTCAATAATAATCCACCAAGGCAGACTGCTCAAGCATTATGTTTGTTTAATTCTATTAGCTAAAGACAAGTAATTTAGAAATCTTATGAATTTTATGAATTCTGATAAAAAATACAATTTTAATTTTTTATAAGCTAAGCAATAATTTATGAATTATTGCAATTTATATCTCGATTTGCTCCAATTAAGTTCCACAGGTTTTAAGCTATATTGATACGAGAAAAGTAATTTTAGCAAGTGTTATGTGCGCCGATGGATCCACACAATATTCGTATCGAGAAAGCATAAATGATTTCAGTAAAATAGAAGTAGCCGGAAAAGCGATTATGTCATTGAACTGTGAAAGTCTTGGGCCAAGCGGTGCAAATATTTGCGTTTGTACACCATCGAGGATTTGTTATCGCGGAAATAATACCGGAATGTCGATACTTTTAGCATCCTATTGCACAAAAGGTTTTTCGATTCCTTTAATCATTATTTATAAATTTTTAAGTAAATAATAATATCGAGAATTTTCATGATAATTTTCCTGTTTTTGATTATCAGCTTTTGTGATTGCTTAATAGAAATACCATATTTATATTATAAATTTGCAAATTTTAAAGAAAAACATCAACAAACTAAATTTGTTTTTTTTTTATCATATCAGAAATCAATGTCATAATCCTCCACACGATTCCTTTAATATAAACACTAAAACACTTTTTTCCTTCATTTTTCTTCCTTCATTCCTTTTTTTTCTCTTTCCTTCATTTCATCATTTCCAATAACCAATCGCATGGAATTGATATTTTTCTTATAAATAATCGTTTTCAATGGTGGTTAACTCGTTATAAAGAAGAAAAAAAACCTCTAATATCATTTGTATATCCAGATTTAATTCCATTATGTGGCGTCTATGGAAAAATATCGGGCAATAATGCAGATGATGCGTTAGTAAGCAACAATCATCCACCAATAACAGTTGGTTCACAATTCGCTGCTGGTTCGCTCAAGCCAATACCAAATGGTTTCATTAATATTGCATCTGTTTCATGTGGAAATTGCGCACCAGTATTGTGTTGATTTTATTATTATTATTATTATTATTATTATCATTACTATTATTATTATTGAAATAATAATTAAGTTCCTAATAAATAATAATTTTGATTCAATAATTTTCTTACGCATTATCTATAAAATTTATCAGAAACTTCACAAAATTAGTGTTTTATCATTCAGATTTGATCGACATCACACCATTGAAAATTTAATAGATTAAGCATAATTTTTGAACACAAACGCATACCATTATAATAATGATAATAATGGTTGTTATCAGTAGAGAAGGTTCTTTAGCAATTTTTATCAGTGCTTATCATCACCAGTTAGACTAATGAATGAAACTCTTGGACATGTAATTACAAGTAGTGCCTCGAGTATCACCCGGATTTATGACAAATTTACTCCAGCAAAGAAGCAAGGAATCGAATCAATAGAAGTAAGGTCTAACAATTGGCAAATATGATAGATCCAGAACTTTTTCGTGATTTTTTCCTTATTGATATCGGATAAAGAGTGGATCTTTGTTATTTACACCGATTAACAAATCTATTTGTTTCTTCCATGAATATTAGCATAAAATAAATTAAAATTGAAAACCTAAGATAAAAAAATAATAATTGTTGGAGCTAATGATTTCTAACTTGGTCTTCACCAACTGTATGTAAGAGCAACTTTGGTAATAGGCAAGAGAGAAATTAGGTTAATCTAAATCTACCATTAAAACATCCTGGCAATGGTGTATCATTCAAGTGATCACCAAATAAAAATTCGTAACCGTACTGACAGGCAATGGAACTAACCTAATTAGAAATTATGAGCAGTAAGAACTAATGAAAACTAATGAATTAATGTATATGTATAATGGTATTCGACCGCCAATCGACATACCAAGATTATCAAATAGCAAATGATTTAAGAATGATTTACACAAGAACCATTAAGATTCCAATCAAGCAGTACATATTCGATTTCTCCTTTTTAGATCGAAACTTAAAGGATTCAAGCATCCATGCAAGCAAGTTAACATATCGTAACATGAATGAAAATGCATTTCTACTGGCCATATTTAAAAATAAGGCCGATGACTCGAAAAACCAAGAATATCACCATTATCGGTTAGGTTGGTTGGCTATAAGGGGAGGACGGCGCATCGAAGTTATTCAGTACAATAAATAGGTGGACAGCTTTACCGAATGCTAAAGATTGCTTAAGAAAATTTTCGAGACAAATTTGACTAACTAGAAAAAAAATAAAAGATATCTGAGAGAAAATTTCGATCGGAAAAGTTTTTTAGATTTCATTTTTCTAGCGAATAACTTGTGATATGATAAAAAGGATGAAATATGAAAATTTTATTGAATTTTTAACTTTCTCTTTTTGCCAAATTCTACAATTCGAAGTCGTTTATTGAACAAATTTTTTGTAAAATTAATTGTATAATTTAAATATGTTTATAAATATAATTTGTAAATTTATTTAAAAAATATTTTTTGAATAAAATTTTTAAATAGAATTTTTTTTATAAATTTTATAGATTTAAATTGAATAAACTTATTTTTATGCAAAATAAAATCACTTTGACTTAATTATTTCATATAAATTTAAATTCACTGTTTCACTCATTGTTTCTGTTTAGATTGCCTTAGGCGCATAATCATTTAGTAATTTTCTGTTAAAAATTTTCTCAAGAAGTTCGAAACTCGATCGAAGTACGACAACTCGTAAGCATAACTTAGAATTTTTTGCTTAGAGATTTATTGTTCATTTTTGGATAAAATAAAAATTGTAAAAGCTGGAACGTTTCATTAAGACATTTTAAATTTTTATAGGAAACTAAGTTGAATTAAGCAGACGGATAGCATTCCAATGAAAAAAATTTCGAAATATTTTAACTTTTCCAAATTATCGAAAATAATTTTAAAAAATTTTAGAAAAATCAATTTTCCAATAGACTAGGAATCCTAAAAAAAAAAAGAAAAAAAAATAACAATTTTTCGATAGATAAAAAGAAAAATTAATTCAAATTCAATTTTAAGAAATTTTTTTTATGATTTCCAAAATTTATTTTTCTTTCTTTATTTTTTTTATTTTTCTTATAAAATTTTAAATAAGAATACAATGAATATCCGATTTGCTCGTCGATCCCCAATTGATCGCTCGAGTTTTCCCATAAGGACTCCCCGAGGAGAATAATGCGATCTCGCTGGGAATCCTTCCAACAAATTATTATTATTATTTTTAATTTTTGCTAATAATAATAATTATCATTTTTAATTGTTCAATAAAAATCTTATAATTATGAATTTAATGCATATGAATTGTCCATCTATTTTTTAAATTATTTGTTAATTTTATTTTATTTATTAATTTTATTAATAAAAAACTCGACGAAAAATCTAAATAGAAATCCACAAGCATAAATGAATAAATAAAAACGCACTTATTGTAATAAAATTTTGAGAAGAAATTTGTTTATTTAAGCATAATAAAATTTTCATGAAGAAAAAAAAAATTGTATGAATAGGTGGGTAAAAAATTATGTAAATAAATAGGTAAATAGATAGGTAAATATTTCTATTTAATATTTATATCCATAAAATGTCTCTAACAGATTTCAGGAACAATATTAGAAATCTCTGCAAATATGGCTTTGCTAGATTTGGCTAAAGTCTCGCAGACATTTGGTAGAGGAATCGAGATTGAGGATGAACGTTACCCATCTCCATAGGGAATGAGAAAAGAATTTCTTTCATGTTGCTTCTTTCATGTGATCGTTAAATTTTTCTTTCCACAGACTCCCTAGGCGAAGCCATAAAAATTTATCAAATTTATCAATTTATAAAATTTAGCAAAGTACAATACTTTCAAATTTTAAGATTTTAAAATACTTATTAAATTTAATTTATTTTAATTATTATTAATTATTAAAATATTTCGCATTTAATTTAATTTTCCATTTAAGAATTATGAATAATTATGTAAAAATAATCATTGATGGTAAGAATGAGAAAGATTCATTTAAATGAAAACTAAGGACATATAACTCGAATTAGATTCCCACGCACCTTCATGATCCCTGGGAACTAGCACAGTTCCCAGGGGTCCTTTAGAGACCAGTTTGACGACCGCTGATATTCAATAAAATATGAAATGTGGAATCATAATGAATCATTTGCCGAATGTTTGCCGACTCTTTTGTTATAACAATGAAATTCCAAAATTACTTTTTTTTTAAGTTTTTTTTTTTCCTAATTTCTTTTATTATTACTTTCTTATAAGATTTCATGATAAATATACAATGTAGTTAGCAAAAATTCTATTCATAACGAACCAACCAAACGACGCATTTCTAATACTTTTATGGTTTGTAATCATAGTGCTCGAATTTTCACCTCGCTCACCATTTTTGAAAATGTTCATTCCGTTGGCCTGTCGGATCAGTTATCAGTTATCAGTTATCAGCGAGTCACTTGGCGATAGAAGTAGAGATAAGCAGTCGGTCTAGATAGATTTATTCCTACTGGGAGTAGACTTCCAGCATATAGGCATTCCGAAATAAGAGCAACAGCCCACTGAGCCACTTTATCAATTGATTGATATTAAATTATCAACAAGTATATATATTTATTATTGTATTGTATGATTCAAATTTTAAATTTATTATAGAGATATGGGAAAAATTGGGTTTCTTGCATTCTTGTTAGAATGCACTAAGTGCATCCGTGAAAGCTACTGTGGTATAATCGAAACCATTGTTTTATCATATTTAATCGTTTGCTATAACCTGAATTATTTCCAATTTTTCCAAAATCTTCAATTCTCCTCTCCATTATTATAATTAAATTAGCAAATTCGCCTACAAAATTTTTCGATGACCCCATTTTCTTATCGTTATTAAATATCTTAAATTCTATTTTGTAAAAATTTTTATTAATTGATTAATTTAATGAACCATATTTGACCTTGGTGATTTCGTGCTCGTCGAACATTGATTTAGATACAACCATTGTTCATTTGTACTTAGAATGTGACTTAATGGGACTTATGGAACGAAACTAATAAAAATGGCTCCAAAAAAAAGCACCAAATTTATTTTACTTCAAATAGGAAATATTCATTGCATGACGAAAAAATTGGTGAGCTTTATTCCTCTATATAATTAACGAGGTGGAATGGCTCAATGGGTTGTTGCTCAATTCGGAACGCCCGTGCTGAAGTTCTCCTCCCCGCAGGAGTAAATCTATACAAAAATCCGTGTGATGCTGACACCTGAATTTTTATCGTTAAGCGACTTCCTGGCATATATGCTTTGCGCAATAAGCCAGCGGAGCAAGTCTAACCAATGATGGTGCTCTTAAAAAAAGGAAATTACCTTAAATAATCCTCCTAGCATTTCTAGAATGATATATAAGTTATGCTGAATTTGCTGAAATTATGCATTCGTAACCTAAGAAGGGCGAAATAGCGTTTAGAATTTGTAGTTGCTCGAAGCTCTTCAGATTCCTTACAAATTATTGAAGATTCTCAAAGAACTTTTTTCCTTTACTTAGGTTTCAAAGTTGAAAGACGATTTTAGTAATTTAATATAAATGAAGAGGATCCATAAGAATCCAAGAGAATTACACTTTAAGGAATTTAGAATAGTTTGGAAGTTAACGGTGCTCATGAGCAAAAATTTTAGGAGAAACATGATGATGATTATCTCTTCGTAGATTTTTTATCAAAATTTTCTTTTTTTTTCCTTATCAATAATCAATGATTTTTAATGACAGAAATAGCGGTAATTTTGGTATTAATTATATCGCATTAAATCGATCCATTAATTGAAATTTTCATTTATTTCATTTCTCTTTATTGCTTCTTTTTATAGGACGAAAAAATAGAATAGACTGCCTTTTTTTCTCAAAAAATCTTTTTATCCCATAATTTTCTTGACCGACTGATAATTTTCCTGATAATCTTCGACAATTTTTCTGACTAATTGATAATTTTTGATAATTTTCTGGATTATCTGATAACAATTTACACTATAAAAGCCTTCAGTGCCTTTATAAATGAATGAATTTTTTAGCTAATTCATTGATTTAAGAACGAAAAAATTTTTGATTTTTGGAATTTTAATTTCCCAAAAATTGATTAGTCTGTTAAAAAGCATTGGTAAGCGAAATTCTTTGTCGCCAACATTTTTAACCCTATTCTTTTCTCATCGCCGTTCTCTGTTCTCTTCCATTATCGTTCTATTTTCTCGCTATTAATTTATCCTCGATTCTTTTCTTCTATCTTCTATCTTTATGCACTCTCTCTGCAGTAAATATGCTGACGAAGTAATAGAAAAGAAGGAAAAATGGCCGATCTGGAATTGCACCTGAATTAGTTCCAACAAACTATCCAGCAATCTGAAATAATGAAAAATATTGGCTTTTTGCATCCACTCAGTTCATGCTAACAATTCAACGCGTATAAAGTGGCATGCACTATGATAAATATAGTGCTACTCTTACGCAAATTTCACATACTGCAGCACAATATTTCTCTTTTCTATTGTAAAAATTTGAACGAACAATTGTGGCGGCAAAGATGAATTTATTAGGGCAAATTTCATTATTTCATTATTAGGGCAAATTTTTCATGTCTCTTTTTTTTTTTTATTAATATTTTACTTTTAGCGAAATGCTAATTTTTTTTGCTTTTAAGCTTTTATTTTTTCTAGTATCGTTGATTTTTTAATTAAAATTCCCTTAAATTATCGGCGTATTTTTATATATTTTAGAAAAAATGCGAAAAATAGCACTGAAAAAATGACAAAAATAGCTTCGCCAGTGACAAAAAAATTAGCATTGATAATTGTCAGAAATCGCCAGTGGCGATTGACAAAAATAGCGACAGCAGCGACAAAATAGCGACAGCGGCGACAAAATAGCGCACAAAATTTTTCATTTTTTCTTGTTAAATTTTAAACGAATTATTTTGTTTATTTCAGGTGTTTTTTATTTTCTATGATTTAATTTTTTCATAAATTTTTCTTTTTTTGAAAAATGAGAAAATAAAGAAAAATGAGGTGCGAAATTGACGAAACACCAAGCGCCATTTGCAATCCGAATATTTTTTTATTGGAAAATAAGCCAAAGGTTTGTGTTTTTTCTTTTTTCTTTTATTTAAAATTTTTAATAATTTAACTTAAAATGCGCTAATTGATTATTTTTTCATATGCCACTACCAGATAAATTTGTCGGCCAAATTTGTAACTAAGCCATTGGCCAATAAGTTATCGGCCTCTGTGGCACGTATATTATCTGCCACAAAATGTCGTCGTGTTCATTATGGCGCATATTGCTGCCAGGGAGTGAAATGCCGTCGCATTCAGCGTATTGCTATTGCCATCTGCAATATTCCGTATGAGTTGTCGAGTATACGTTGTTGACAGCGGCACTGCAAAATGTGGTCTTATTCGTTATAGCATAAGAATTGCTAGCATGCTTATGAAGAAATGATTCAGGTTTCTGCATGGACAATTCCATTAATTTTCAGTGCAATCATATTTATTAATCTTTAAGTGAATCGATTTTTCAGCTGTGCAACTTTTCAATGTTTAGCGTTGATCAGGAATATTCTCTAGAAAATTTCGATTATTAGCTTTTTATTTATATTATTTTAAATATTAAATATAAATACAAAGCTAATAATCGAATACAAATATTAAATATTATAAAATTATTATAATATTATAATATTATAAAAATTATTATAATATTATAAAAATATAAATACAAATATTAAATATTAAATAAATATTAATATTAAACATTCAAAATTCTTTACGAACTATTTAAATTCATAAAAATGCATCGTTCTAAAAGAATCTATTTCAGCTTGTCCTTGGTCATGATATCGGTGCGGGCTCTTCATGCTTTAAATGTGCTTGTCCTGGTCTCGAGCTTCATTATTGGAGGTATACGATTCGTTTTTCATTTTTTTTTTCTTCTCTAAAATTTCGAATTATAATATATATTTAGAAAATTTTATAAATATTTATATAATATTTAAAATTTTTATAATAATAGTATTTATATATAACAAATTTTTCATAATAATAATATTTATATATAACAAGAATTATAATATATAGTTTACTAATGGATTTTGTATTTATTTATTTGAAGCGAAAAAATTTTTGAAAATATAATTGAAAGAAGCCTAATCAGTTTTTTTTTAAAATCTATTACCACATATCACTTTATAAAATTTGATTAATTCTTTTTGAAAATTTTTAAATATTTTCAGAAAAATTTGTAAAATTTGTTCTTGCCGAATGGATGATCATGATGTTATTTTACCTGAAAATATGGATCATGGTAAAGTCATTATTGGTATGTAATATGTACCTTCTTTTTTTTAATATTTCATCGTATATAAGTATTCTTTATAGCTCTAACTTTAATCATTCTTTTTTTTCCATCTTTATAATTTGTGGAATATTTTCCAAATAATTTGATCGACTGATTGATTTTCGCGGGTTTTTCTAATGGGCGTAAAATATTTAAATTTGGTTATATTATTTACATTAAAATTTTTACATTAAAATTTTATTTTTAATTTTGATTTCGAGATTTTTTATTTGAAAATTCAAGTTCGACTGAAAACTGAAGCTCATATGATTCAATTATATTTTTGGCTACTGAAAGTATATTTCAGGTCGTTTATTTGATGTCATCCCTGAATTTGAACGAAAACTTAATATTTCAACGAGAACGCTGAATAAAATGAACTCTGAAATAAATGAAGTCATTAACTTATCTTCTCAAAAAGTATTGTGTAAATTTATTGTTTAGTGAATAAAAATTATTTTTTTTTTTTGAGAGATTAATTTAATTTAGAATCCCCGATTTTTCAGAAGTTTAGTTCTTTTTTTTCCATTATGAGGGAATCTTTTTTTTCAAATTTTCATTTTTAGAGAAAAGCTTTTGCCTGGTATAATATTTTCGTTACAAAATTTTCTTCTTTATTGCTTGATTCTTCATATGATATAATTTCGATAGTATTTTATCTTTTATCAGCATTCATAATTATCATGTATAGAAGTACCTTTCATACTTTCACCCTAAATTTTCTTTACTATTTTTACTCTTCTATTTTACTATTTGAAAAACAAATGTATTGCAGAGGAATATGGTGAAATCTTTGATGAAGAAAGGAAACGACAAATGTGTTGAATTGATCACAGAATATACATGGTTGCCATCTGAAAATCGTTCATTAGCGGAAAAATATTTTGCGGCAATACCGGAAAATGAACGACCAATTGTTGGTAGTGAAGGTGCAAAAGATCGACGTAAAAAATTGCAATATCAGGTCGTACAACAATTAAATTGAATTAAGGTTTTAATATTGATATATGCCTACTGGCATTTTATATATGATTTAATTATTGCATTATATTTATTTACTGATATCATTTTAGTTGCCTAATCATGACTCAAATGCCGATATGGCAAAATCTTTGGTTTCTGAAGCTGATCATGATCAATTTACAAAATATTTGACAGTCGTTAAACGAAAGGTTTTATTTATTCAGTTGTTTTTTTTTTGTTTATCCTTTGTTCTAGTTCATTTTACTTTTATTGATTTCCATTTATCTTAGATTGTTGGTGTTGGAAAATTGATAGAATGCAACAATTCTGTTCGGAATAGTAATGGTGAGAAACAAAAACTTAACAAAAATGCGAATAAAAAGAAAGATTATGGGGTAATTCATCCTTATAAATAAAAAAATCAAATTTTTTAAAGATTAGTTGATCACTTCTTTCTTTATTGGTTTAATTTTTCTTATTTTAGAAGTGTAACACTTGTGGGATATTCATGCAGCCTGGAGATGTTGCAATCGTTACCGATCATGGATCGCCAGATGTTAGTACTTTTTACCTTATCTTCCGCAAATAACATTCAAATTAATTAGATAATGACTTATAAAGACCGATAAAAATTCCAAAGAAAATATTTCAGAATGTGTGGCATCCAAACTGTTTTCGCTGTCAAACATGTAATCAACGGTTAGTTGATTTATTGTATTTCTATAAAGATGGAAACTATTTTTGTGGTCGCCATTTCGGCGAATCGTTGTATTGTCGTTGTGCTGGTTGTGATGAGGTAAATAAATCTAAACAAATAATTTTTAATAAAAAAATAAACAAAATTTTAATCTCAAGAGTTCATTTTATTTTAAAGTTTAAATTATGGATTTTATATTGTAAATTAAGTTATAATTTTTATTACTAAATTTTATATTAATTAAATAAAATTGATTCCATTCCCCCGTTTTGTTGAAATTTTTCGAAATGAACTGAAATTTAACTGAATGACTTGTTAGAATTTAAGCTAAAATGAAATGGAATTTAAAATCTTTTGGATTTAATGAAATCAATTTTAATTAATTAATGTTATTATTATTATTATTATAATCAATATTATCACAATTTTAGTTGATATTTTCAAAAGAATACACATATGCTGAGGAAAAAAATTGGCATTTTGATCATTTTTGTTGTTTCGGTTGCGATAAACAATTAGGTGGTCATCGATATATGATGAAGGATGAACAGCCTTATTGTTTTGCATGTTACATGATTAGATTCGCCAAGGTTTCTTTATAATTAATATTGATATTATATTGATAATATATTGATATTTATACACTAATTTATTCATATAATTATAATTTATAATATTTTATTATTATAATTTATTTTTATTTATTATTATTTATTACTGTTGTTTATTATTATTGTTATTTATTTAATTTATGATAGTTTTTTTACTTTTTTCATTCATTAAGTAATTTTTAAATTGTAATTATATAATCTAATAATAATATTTTAGACTTGTCGCTTTTGCCTAAATAAAATCGCTCCTGATGAGCAAAGAATTTCGTTCAAAGAATTACACTGGCATGCTCAACACAGATGTTTTCAGTATGTTGTGATTTCTTTTCTTTTCAATGTTACTCTTTCAAAAATTTTTCGCTCTTTCGCTCTTTCGCTCTTCGCTCTAATTTTTAATTTCGCTCTTTTTTTTCTTGGCTTCTTTGTTCCCCTTAAATTATTATAAAAAATAAAATTTAGTTGCCAGAACTGTAATATGGAACTTCTCAACCGTAAATTTGTTATTAAAACGGAAAAAGTTTTTTGTAGTACGGAATGCAAGAAGGATTTTTTCAGTCGAATTTCATAATTTTTAATGATTATAAAAGATGATTTTGCGATTGATTCTTTTAATGTACATTTACTTTCCTTTACTTTTGCAATAATTTATTTTAAATTTTGTTCAATTATGCTTTTCATTGTAATTCTCATTACATTTAAATTTTATTTGCTTTCACCGTTTGTTTTGTTTTTTTTTATACAAAAAGTATTTGTGTTTCAGATCATATTTATAAAAAAAGAAATTCACGGAGAATTTTCTTTTTCCAACTTTTTATATTTACACATCCGACATTTTTGTCATTTTCTGATTTATTTTATCATTTTGATCTCTTTTGCTATCACTTGATAAGTATTTGTAACTTTTTTTTAGTTCTGCAGAAGTAAGTATTAAAAGTTGTTTTATCATTCATTTTGATTATTTAATTTCATTCATTTTATTTTGCCATTTTAATTTTTAAAAACTCATTATTTGTTTTAGTGAAATTTCATTTGATATACTTGTTTTTAGCCATTTTTAAATCACTTACGTTGTATTTTTAATTGTTTTTTAATCAATGAATGATTTGCTGCTGTTTTCTGCTAAAAATTGTTGCGGTTGATGATCGATTTTAAGAAGAAGAAGATTCCCAAATGAGCGTAGCGGAAAATTAAGCTTCTCTTAAATTAAGTTCCTCTTTGTAAATTTTTTTTTTCTCTGATATATTTTTTATTTTTTTTGTTAATTTTTTTCTAATAAAAAAATTTTATTTAAATTTTTTTCGAGTTTTTCTTTTCTTTATTTTCGAGGTAATTCACTTCGTTTCGTTTATTATTTTTATTTTTCCTTTCGAGAAACTCAACGAGAAAATTATCGAAAAATTTCGCCAATTAGCAAAAAAAATAGGATTAAATGGAAGAATTAAGATTGGTATTTTATCGTTGCTCGAAGCAAATTGAATTGTTCGTTTTGTGAGGTGAGGTGGTATTTTGACAAATTTCTCGCTATTTTACGCGATTTTATTTACGTATGAGTTGAGGGCGAGAGCAATTCGTTTAGTCGTTTATCCCTTCAATAACCGTTATTCTTCAACAATGAAAGGAAATGAAAGGGTTAACCTGTTTGGTAGAAATAAGATTTAAATTCATTGCTTGCAATGATGATCTTATCAGTTATTCTATTATTTGTTGATATGATAAAATATTTTGGATATATCTTTTTTTTTTTAAACTTAAACCTATTATGTTGCCATTATTTATCATATGCAAGTTATTTTGATAAATTTGATTATTTAGAATTTGATTTTTTCTATGGCTGTTTGATTTATTGGATTAGCACACAGGTGATATCTTTCTTTGTTAAGTAGCGTATACTTACCATATTCTTTATGACTAGAAGATATCTTTATTTTGATTTTCAAATCTCAGTGATTTGGCGTTTAAGCTGATGAAATATGATAAAATTTGGCTAGCAATTCAATTTAGTTTTTCAACTTAATCTTTTATTAATTCAATTCAATAATTCAATAATTTGATATCTCATCTTTCTCTTTTAACATTATACAATGTTTACGGTTCGACTGATTCCACTGATTGCTAGCATTTTATCAGAAAATCACATTCCATCATCGTCCAAAACCACAAAGTTCTATGGTACTAAATCGATGAATTTTTTTTTTTTTTGATAACATCAAATACTAATCGATTTATTAATTTTTGAAATTATTATTTCAGATAAAAAAAAAGAACAAATTAACATGTCCAGTTTCATTTGAATATTTTTGTAAAAACAAGGTTTTGTTATTTATTTGCTATTGTCTATAAATTTTCATTTATTTTACTATTAATGCATGATTTAACAAAGAGCGCATGAAATATGAGAACTGAGAGCAAATCTCGAACTTATTTCGATTATGATCGATTGTATGACGATCATAACGTTAATATTTCAACAGAAATATATCACTCTCAAATCTCATCTCCGTTAACGCTTCAGGTCTGTTTAACTTACTAATATTTATTAATAATAATAATAACAATAATAATAATAACAATAATAATAATGATAATAATAATAATAATAATAAAATATACGAATTTATGTTGAAAATAAAATGTTGTAAATATGAAAAATAAAAAGAAATTACAGAAACTAACATTCTAATAGTTAAATATCCAAAAATTTCATAAAAATTATCAATTTATTTGTTCAAATAATGAATGTAAATTTTATGAATCGTTATTTGATTAATGCAATTTTATTTTTATATTTCCTTTTTTATGAGCTTTTCAAATAGAATCTTTTCAATATTTAACAATTTGATTTTAGTAGATTTATAATAAATGAAAAATTTTGAATTTTCATGGTTCGAATGTCATAATTGATGCTAAAACATTTCATTTAATTTTATTTAATACTAAATAATTAAATATTAAGCAATAACGATATTCATTTTAAAAATATTCGAAAAATTAGATTATTCTTTTACAAATGAATTTTGTTTCTTTTTTTATTTTCATATTTTATTATTTATTATTTTATTTATTATTTATATTTTTATTTAATTTATTTATTTTTTATTTTATTATTCGCATAATTTTTCTCAGATATTTTCAGATGAAATTAACCATTGAACGTCAATCTCGCGATTATTCAATTCTAAAAATAGGTGTATTAATTTGGTTAACATTTCAAAATTCTATACATACGTTACTTATTCGTTATGCTCGTGCGCGTGATATTCCACAAATGTTCATATCATCAGTTGCTGTTTTTTTAACGGAAATTTTTAAAGCATTTGTATGCATTTTTATTGTGATTTATGAAGAAGGAAGTTTTTTAAAGTAAATCTTTTTCGCATTTAAATTATTATTATTTCAAAATTTCTCGTATTTAAATTTTATTATATAGATGATTGTTATTTTATTATTTATTATTATTATATTTTATTATTATTTATCAATGTTTCCATTTCAATAGTTTTTTTTTTTTTTTTTTTAAACTCTTTTGTTAGCGTATTTAGTATTTGGGGATAGAATGGCTCAGTGGATTGTTGCTCGATTGGGAGCGCCGATGCTGAAGTTCGATTCCTCGCTAGAGGGAGGGATTTCCTAAACCTGTACAAATCCGGGTGATGCTGATGACTTATCTATGTTTGTATTTCTATCGCCAGAGAGACTCCCTGGCATATTGCTCAATGCGACAAGCCAGAAGAGCGAGTTTAACCAGTAATGATGAGGTCTCTTTTTAAAAAAAAGCGTATTTAGTATTGAAAAAAAATGCTATAATTGGTCTATTTGCAGGATGTGTTCATTGGTTAGGCAGCAAGTATTTGGAAATTTCTTTGATACTTTTAAAGTTTGTATACCTGCAATGATTTATATGATACAAAATAATTTGTTCTATTATGCAGCAAGTCATTTAGAAGCAGCAACATTTATGGTAAATTCTTTAAATGTCTATTAAAAATCATTGAAATTGAATAAACAGAAGTCGGAATAACCAAATAGTAATATTTTGCTTCCATTTATTAGTTCAAGCATATTAGATTTGGATCGTTCGCATCAACTGGAATAAGTTTTATTATCAAAAAGTAAAATTCGAATAGTGCTGAAAATAACTGCAATTCAGTTCCCAAATGATAGACTGTTTTGGCTAATGGTTTGACGAAAATAATAGTAAAATAGGAAGACCTTTATGAATAGAATGAGAAATATGAAAATAAATTTTTTTTCATTTTATTATCTTCAATTTTAGGTTGCATCTCAATTGAAAATTTTCACGACTGCGGTTTTTTCAGTTTTTATGCTTCGAAAAACATTAACATTAATTCAGTGGTTCTCATTGGGAGTTCTTTTTATTGGAGTTTGCCTTGTTCAAGCTTATCAAACTTCAAGTTATAGAATGGCTACAGTTCAAAAACCATTTCTTGGTTCGTTTTTTTTTTTAAATGAAATAAGGCTTCATTCGCTTATTAACACAGAGTCAAATCACATATTGAGGGTTCTAATTGCATATTGATGGTTGCTTATGCTAAATATTGTCGTCATTTTCATGCATTTTTAAAATTAGATGCGGAGATGCATTAAAATTAGGTGCAAAATCTGTATAGTATTAGTAGGCAATTTATTCCAATAGTACGAGTGGAAAAATTTATGAGGCATGAAATTTTATTCTTCTTTGTTTAATTACTTTTGGCTGGCTGCAGTGATTGTAAACGTTTTAAAAGTTCTCGATTCGAGTCAAGATAAGCATTTAAAAATCAGTACTCTTCGATTTTTCTGGATATTCCGGAAGTTGATGCAGATCGTCTAAATTAGGATGTATTTTCTGAATCTTTCACCTCGGAATTCGAAAAACTTTAGGAAATATTTTTCGCGCGTTATCAGTTTCTTGTGGATTCTGGTTTGGATTTATTGTAATATGGTGCAATCCATGAAGATTGCCAGTTTCAGCGCCATATTTTCATTTATATTAAAATATTCCCATGAAATTAAAGTTATTTTATTTAATTTTTTATGAATACTACGAATATTTGATTTATTTCTATTTTCTTTAAATTTTCTATAGCTTAAGCATTCTGGTACAGTTAGCTTCCTACAGTGTTTGCTTAGATTAGAAAATTAGAAATTTTTATCAAGGGATCAATCCGTAGTAGAAGTTTTTTGCGAGCTATCAGAAACTCCCTTCCACTCACTAGTTTTTTAATGGTATGAACCGAAGCATTAATTTTTAACACTAGAAGCTGAACTGCAAACTATCCACATATTCTCAAATATTGTATACTCAAATATTATCATTTTACTGGTTCCACGCAGGATTTCTTGGTCTGGAATCCACAAACTTATATTTTTTTAGAGCATTTTAAAACTCGGGTCGCACTAGATAAATTTTTCTAGGGGATCACCTGGCGAAGAAAATATAAACGAGTCGGCAGTACCATCCTGATTTTTGAAAAACAGCTTTGCTCCAAGGACTAAAATAGGACTAAATGATTTGGAAATATTTCAATTATTCCTGCCAGATTATTGTCAACTATTGTGAATTCCATTATGTTTAAATAATTTTGAGGAACCTTTTAAGAGGTCTTTGATTGGTCCGGATATTTGAATAGAAATCTGTTGGTAATACTGAAATGATTATGGCGTATCGTCAGAATAGGATTGTTATTAATTGATCGGGGCCGTTTTTATTGCCTTAAATTATGTTTCATAAATTTATTCTCCATTCAGGCTTATAACATTAAAAAATGTTTTAGGATTTCTTGCTGTGGTTATTGCTTGCATCTTTTCTGGTTTCGCCGGTGTTTATTTCGAAAAAATGCTCAAAGATGCAGCACCAATATCTTTGTGGATGCGTAACATTCAGATGTCACTCTTTTCTATTCCATCAAGCCTAATAGCTGTGTTTGTTCAGGTTTGTAATTACCTTTAAAATCTATCATTCAATCGTTTTAATATGCAAATTTCACAAAATGCTCGAAAATTTCAGGATTTTTTTGAAATATCTACAAAAGGTTTCCTTTATGGTTTCGACTCAGTAGTTTGGACGCTTGTAATTTGGTATTGTCTTGGTGGACTTTCAGTTGCTGCTTGTATTAAATATGCCAATAATATATCGAAAAATTTCGCAACATCTTTTGCTATTCTTTTAAGTACGATTGGTTCCATCTATATATTTCATTTTGAACCGGATACAGTTTTCTTGTTGGGTGTTTTTCTTGTAATAATAAGTATTTTTCTTTATTCGTTGCCACCAAAAAAATTATGCGGTGTTAAAGGATATTTCTATCCATAAATGAATGTTTGTTGAATCTAAGCAAAAAGCAAAAAGTTTAAGCTTAGCTTATTAAAGAGAATGGAACCAGTCTTTATTGTTTTTCTCTTGTATTTTTTATTTCGTTTATTCTTTATTTTATTATTTGATTTTTATTTCCTCAGGTTCAGCGAAATCAAAAAAAGTGATCTTATTTGCTCTAAGAAAATTATTTCCTTTTTTTTTTTGATTTTTTAAAATTCACAGTATTTTCAATATCGAATTTTATAATTTTTGATAATATAATAATACTATAAATATAATTTTATTATCATTTTATTATTGTTGTTATTTTAAATTATTAAATAAGTGCTATGTAAAATTTGATAATTTGCTTGCCTTCTTATTTCTTCTTTTTGTATTATTTTCTAAAATCATTTTTGTAAATAATTTGTAATTTGTAATTTGGCAAAATCGATTAAAATATTTCATTAACAATATGAAATTTAATTTCATATTTGTCTAGTAATTCATTAAATTTTCATTTTTACTTACAAATAATTGACATTTTATTAATTAAATTGAATTTATTTTATTGTCGACAATAAAAGAATGAACTGCTAAATTTTAATTTTGGCTAAATCTGGTCATTTTAAATCGTTTTCACCAACCGAAATGGATTTGAATATATTAATTTTCAATAGGAATTTTATGATTATTAGCGTTGAAATATTATTTAATAAAATGAGTGCAAAAAATTGCAAAAGCAAGCAAAGTATATACATGGAAGGGAGTGGGGGGAGGGGAGGAGGGTGCTGGAGGGGTTTTTTTAAAAATTTTCGTTTTTAGATTAATCTGAAGAAAAAATCTAAAGGTTCCCACGATGGATGAAGGAGAATTAACGGATGAACAATGTGAGAGAGCACTGAACGATTTTGCACAAATAACAGCAACAGACGAAGCTTGTGCACATTTTTTCTTGCAAGACGTCGGATGGAATCTACAAGTAATCTACAAGTTGATAATTTTTGCTGATAAGTGGGGAATTTCTTAGATTTATCAATTTTTGCTAGCTGGGAAATTTTTCAGATTATTTTCGAAATGAATAATGGGAAATATTTTATTGGAAATATTTTAAGGATATCAAAAAAAAAGATTTTAAAATCATACTTTTAATTTTATATCTTATAGGCTGCGTTGAATAATTTTTATGCTGCTTCAAAGGATGAAGAAGAGGAAATTAAAAGCGATGGTACTAAAACAGATGCGGAAGTAGAAAATACTGAAAATAATAATAGTAATAATAGTTTCACTCCATACTCTTTGTTGTCTTGGAATATTGATGGACTAGACAAAAGTAATCTAAAGACGAGGTTTAAAGCTGTATGCTACAATATATCCGAGTAATTTTTTCTGGATTTTCATCAAAATAAATAAAATCAAATGATTATCATTTTAAAAATAGATTAAATTTAAGGATTGCAGCGGATATTGTCTTTCTACAGGAAGTGGTACCTGAATTAGTTCCATTGCTTAGAGAATGGCTTCAAGGTGAATATAGCATTCTTCTTTCTTCACCAAACCAGAACTATTTCACCGCTGTTTTATTAAAACCACGAGTGGATCTAATTTCACATCGCTGCGTTCCGTTCGAAACATCAGGAATGGGTCGTTCAATGCAAATCGTTGAGGTTATTTTAACATTTATCTTCAGTGGAGTTTCATCTAATTAGTTTTTGGTAGCTCATTTACTTTTATTAAAAAACAAGTCATGCAGCATTAATTCAGCTACCGTTATTTCCAGTTTTCGCCTTCATATACACTTAGAATTAATTTTTCTCGAATATTGCATTTTTCTTTTTATTAAGCCATTAATTAATTTTTATATTTCAGGCTTCGTTGAATGGTATGAAAATAAATCTCCTTAATACCCATTTAGAAAGTATGGGTGAACATAGAAAAATCAGAATTTCACAACTGAATGAATGTTTTAATCTTATTTCGGCATGGAATAATCAAAATGAATTTGTTGTATTTGGAGGCGATTTGAATATTCGTGATGAAGAGGTTAAGAATTTAGTCATATAATAACATTAATGTGCATTATTAATTTCAGAAAAAAAAAAATAACCAAATTTTAGATTTTAAAAAATGTTTTTGGAGATTTTTTCTTCGAAAAAAGTGGTGCAAAAAAATATTATTATAGATTAATATAAAAATATATTTGTGGATATATTTTAATTTAATTTTTAATTTTTTAAATAATTTTTATTGAATAATTTTGTTTCATATTGGTACTTTACCAGTTGGCTTCAATGATGCATGGTTGGCAGGAGGTTCAATTCAAAAATTCAAATACACTTGGGATACTCGACTAAATGATAATAAGTCAGCAGGCGGTTCTCGACTTCGTTTCGACCGTATTTATTTTAATAGGTATAGTTCATCGGGTCTTTTTTTGATCATTTTTATCGCTCATTCGTTAAACAAATTTTTTTAAAAAAACCAATTTTTTTTTTTAAATTTTAGAGCCGATGCAATCAATTCAGTTAAATTCTCGCTCGAAGGACAGAATAGAATCCGAAATTGTCTTTGTTTTCCAAGCGATCATTGGGCAATTTTAGTTCGATTTTGCTAGGTAAGTAAGTTCAAATGAAGTTGAAAAATTTCCTTTAAAAAATTTTCTTCAGGATTTTTTAAAATATTTTTTATTACAGCAAATACAAATGTTTTATAGAAGAAATGCCGAAAATATTTTCCAAATATTTTTCAATATTTTTCTTCATTGTTCCATTTGCTATTTTTTTAAAATTTTTTTTTAAATTTTTATTCTTTTAATATTTTGTGCGATTCGAACTCATTCAACCAGTATTTGTTTCATTTCACATTGTCGTAAATTTAGATTTTTTAAATTTTTCTTATTTCTTCTGGAATAGTAATTTCGCGAGTTCGAATTGAATGCGCTTCACAATCAAATGTATCTCTATTTGAATTTGATGAATCTAAACAAAGTTATTTTCTGAGCTTCTCTTCCTAATAGCCAAAGCAGAAATCATATTATTAAAATATATAAATGATAAGTGATAAGAGATAAAAAATTATTCTGTTAAGATAGATAGAATTTTCCTATAGGCTGATTCTTTTCTTCATTATTTTACCAAATATTTCTAAATGAACAAAAAGATGCTATCCTTTCATTTTTTTTTGTTTTTTTTTCTATTTTAGTGCTTCGATTAGAGGAATGAACTATTTTAAATTTTTTTTTTTTCATCACAATTATTATTTATTTGATAAAAATTTATTTAAAAAATTTTTCTATTAGTAAAAATCAATTAGTGAAATGAGTGAAATTTACAAGAAAATTAAACTTTAAAATTTTTTATATATGTGATTCAAAATTTTTTAACTGGTTGGTTCAATCATATAAAATCGATCGAATATAACGAATATTTTATTGATATAATGATAAAAATGATTATAAAAATAAGAGTAATAATTTAGTGATTAACGATAAAATTTGTAAATTACAAAAATTGAAAAAGTAATCAATAGTCTGAATCTGAATTAAAATTTGAAAAATAAAAGGACGAATTTATGGATAAGGGGGCAAAGGATATTTAATATTGTCCTTGGGACATGTGGACATCCCATGTCATAAAGAATGAAAATCAAGGATTCTTAATCTGGAAACCAGGAAAACCAATCAATTTATTCGTATGATTTGTTCGTCATACCAAAATTTCAACATGAAAAATTTCGGAAGATTTTATTTGCAATTATGCAAATTAAAAAAAATTTTATTTAGTGGCATGATAAATCCAGTATTTAAATTAAATTAAATTAAAAATATAAATAAATGAATATGAAAAATATGCCGAAATAAAAAGTGATAAGAACAAAGTGATAAGAAAAACGATAAGAAAGGCATAAGGCATAATTGCAATTTTTTCGAAACGATATCTTTCAAATTTTTTTCTTCAAATTTATTAAAAACACTTGTTAATTGTTTTGTCAATTGCTTGTTGTGTTATGCACTCCTCAGTGTTGTAAAACATTAAATCAGTAATAAAATAAAAAAAAAGATGATCCAATGATGTAGACGAGTGGTTCAATGAAAGATATAAAAACCTGGAAGGTGAAGCCCCAGAATTAATTGGGAGCAAAGGGACCCTAAAGTAGTCACTTTGCTTTCGCCGTTACTAAATCTTCTGACTCGATTATCTAAATTTTGATTTTTGAAAATTCCATTAAAATTCCATTTTTTTTCAATCTTTTTTCTCTTTTTCTTAAAATGACTTCCGCACTATTTTGAAGGCCTTTGGTGGTTAGGGTATGATTTCCGTTGTCTACCACAAGAGTTGTCGCATATTTCGTTATTTGCTAAACCGTGTGATGGATAGCGTCAAAAGTGAGGTGGGCCAATTAAGACCTGCACTGATACAGCCAGGAAAGATAGATGGACCAGCAATATATGGATTTAGACGATGGAAAAATGAATGGCTTCCATTACTGTCGACGATAGCATCAGACCGCGCCGATCGGAAGCGTCTTACCCTTGTAGCCGTTGGAGCCAGCCTAATCGATATGGTAGAAAAAATATTTGGTATTCCGCTTCGAGCAATTTTTTCCTAGGAATTAGAAATATTAGAAATCTTCAAGCGAATACTCGATCTTCGAGGAATCTTCCATGAAGTTCCATTCATTTAACAAGATTAGTTCCATTCAATGCAAATTAGGAATAACTCGTCACCATTCAACAAGATCATGGGATTTTGTTCTAAAAAAAATTTCAAAATTTCAAGATTGAGATAATCGAAGAGCTAGCAGAAACCTCTATTATGAACTACACGAGTCAAATCCTTTTCCTTTCTATTCTATTTTATACGAAAACAATCGACAGGATAGTGAGAAACCTTCTTAGTCTTTTGTCTCTTCTTTGGTAATCCTCTTTTCCCTCTCCTTTTCATTTTCTCCATTTCCCTTTAGATTTTTTCCGTTTTACTCCAGGAGTATGAAAGATATGTGAATTCAAAGTATTGTATTGCATCGTACTGTTTAGTTTCTAAAAGTACCATCATCCTCATTGTTTTTCATATTCACATATTATTTCCTTTATCTTTCTTATCCTTTATCATTATATCTTTTATTATAATAATATTCGACGCCTTTCAGCTGTTAATGTCGATCTTTTATTTTTAATTGTTATTTTATTTTTATTGCAAATAAAATTTATTTTTAAATTTATAATTAAATTTATAATTAATTCACTAATTTTGCTAAAAAAAAAAAAATTAATGTCACATGCAAACTTATGGTAATTTTCTTTTTTTTTACTTGCATGCATCTTCTCGAATTTCCTTCCATTATGGTTCTTTAATAAATTATCAGATCGTATTGACAACCCAACGTACAACCCAATAATATTACCAATGAAAACCACTAAAGCATTTATTGGCAGGTGGAAAGTCCAAAATTTGCATTATCTTTATTTATTGGCCAGAAAGTCCAAAATTTACCTTATCCTTAATGTAATATTTATTCGCAGCTGGATAACCCATTCCAATCTTCGTTAAATTTTCAATTCCAGGCTATTTTATTATTTTTCTTTACAAATCATTCTTTGCAAAAACTACGAGCTAAAATGAACGGACGAATTTAGCGCTTCATCAATAGTACCATCGTTAGGCAACTTTGCCAATTTTGCTTTGCTAATTTTTATGCTAATTTTAATTTCAATCAAATTTTATCCTCGTCCCATAAGAATCGAAATAATTGTCTAACATTGCTAATAGTTTTTTTTTTGTTTAGATAATTTAAATTGGTCGTTTAATTCAGTATAAATTTTTAATAATAATATTTTATCAGATAAGCAATAATTATTCCAGGGCGAATCAATTTTGTCCTTGAAATTGTTCCCCGTCACCTGAAATCATTCCTTATCATTTATCTTAAACAATTGGTGAGATATGGTTAAAAAAAAAAAAACCCTAAAAATAAGCAGCGGACTAATTATATGAATTTTAATAATAAACAACGGATTCAAATCACAAGAAATTCCACTAATACCCATAGAATATAAGTACCACAGGCTTAGTTCCCACACCCAGTAGAGAATATTTAAATTCACTACGGCCAAGCTAAGGATCCTTTTACGGGAGAGTTTTTTTCAAAATGTCATCAGAGAACAAAACTTTATCATATTTTTAATTTTCGAAGAGAATCATTTTAAAAAATTACGGCATTTTGCGAGAACATTTAAAACAAAGCAATTAAAATATATTTAAAATATCATTTCAGATGGAAGCAATAAAAAAAAAAGCCACGTGAATTGATGGCAAATTTTTTTTTAAAAATGAGCATAACATTACAATATTTAATTAATAAATATTCAAAAAATTAAAAAAAAATACTGAAATATCTTGAATCAATTAAAACACAATACTAATACGCTGAACGAAAAAAATTAAAAAGCAATATAATTCATAAAATATCCGAATTAAAGAGATAAATAATGATAAATAAAAAAAAACCACAATATGCTGAGATCGATGGACATGCACCTTGCAAAAAATATTTTTATCATTAACTACTAAATTACATTAAAATTTACTTATCAAATAATTAAAGTAGTAATTATTTAATTATTTATAATTATTTCAATAATACGATATTTATTTTATCTAATCAAGTTGAGCAGTTAGAACCTCACTCTACCGATTAGTACTCAATCAAATGAATTAATAACGTAATATAGCTTCAAATTGCCTTCATATCACAAGAATCCATCACATACGATAAACTTAGACTGCTATAAGAAATTTTGCATAGCAATGTTCAGCGATATATGAATTTAAATGTTGAAAAGATGTGGCTTCTATTAGTTTCAAAGATGGTATTAAATCGAGAATTGGAAAATCTTCTAGCCTCATCCTCCTAATTAGTCTAAATCAGCCAAATATGGAGCTACCAGAAGACAAAAAAATTTAGATTAGTAGATAAATGTCAAAATAATTTTCTATTTCGCAAGATGCAGTCAAGAAAAAATGACAATACAAAGAAAAAAATAAAACATATCCTTGAGGAAAGAGATTGCAATGCAATAAAGATGAGAACAGGAATGCCTAGTGGATTATATGTACAGTTGTTTTATAGGATAAAGATAGCAATAAAGACCAATAATTATGGAAGCCTATAGGCCCAATCATTACAGCTATAAGTTGACAGCTATTATCAGCTGATTTAAAAAGAAAAAAATGAGGGCTTCAAAATATTCAGACAAAGCAGAAATTAATCATTGCGCATCATTGGCATTAAATATGGATAATACTGTTGAGGATAAAGCTGATTGGGTAATGCGAATTGACTTCCATTACTACTCGGTGCCATACCAGTGCCAAAGGTATCAATAAAACTATTTCCAGGAAAAGCACCGGTATTATTTCCGTATCTGAAAATTAAAAAATTTGATTAGCAGACTGGGAACTTTTCTATAATAATGGTAAAGATGGAAAATTTATCTAAATTTAAAATTTGCAAAAAATAATCGTACCTCCAAGGAGCAGGACCTGGGACAGCTGCACTACTTTGGATTGGTCCACACTGCATGCTCAACATATGCTGCGATGTGTTGTTGGATGG